TTTGGTCTTTGTTAGTTCCCAAACGTCATTTTATCAAAATCAACTACACATTTCCTCAGTAGTAAGTTGTCCAACACTAATATGCACTGGTCTATAATGTTAGCCAAGTATACTTTGTGTCTGTTCTTTATGCCCATGAGCCCAATAGTTACCCACAATGGTCTCTACAACCTTGCATAATGTCCTGTCACACCACAGAGCTTCTGTATGGCTTCTGGTACTCCTTTGTGATCTAGCACCTTGATACTCACAGGGGTTTGCTGAGATGCAGAATCTATGACAAAGTTACACTTTTGACCATCCAGTTTTCTTGTCACGTAGACACTATGTGTGTTTGGAATTTTACACTTAACTGTTGGGACTTTCACAATGGGTGTTGGTGGGCGTCCCTCAATACCAACCACTACTGGTTTCCCGAAACTGACTTATTGGTAGTATTCTTCTTACACTGGCTCCTCATATGTTCTTGCTCTCCACAGTTCCAACAACCTTTCTGCGTAGCAGCCTTTTCTTCTGTGGCATCTTCCCTGTGTTGAAGTTTCTAGCATTGAGCTCTCTTGTGCCCAGGTCTGTTACAGTGCCAGCAAAGTCCCTCAAACTTCTCTGAAAGCTGCCTTTTTCCTTGAGTCCTGATGACTGTACCAACCTTGGTATCTCTGTGCTGGACTTAATGTAGGATTCAAATTCAAGAGCTCTAGCCATTGCATCCTGCATTGTAGAGGGTTGTGCTTGCCTTACTCGTATCTTCAGTTGTCCAAAGCATCTACAAACTGGTCCTTCAGCAAAAACTTGAGGACATCGGGTGGCGCAGTTGGGTAGGCCATGTGTGCCATATTTTTCAAATCTTGTGCCAGCTCTTGCAGGCTTTCCCCTTTAGCACGGACTCTCGTCCTAAACCTAGCCCTGTAGACTTCGAACTGAGTTCCATACCTGATTACCAGTGCTCTGTAGTTGTGCCTGTGGTCTGCTGACAACTGTCCAAGTATTTCCAGGCTCATTGCCAGATATACTGCTTTCTGCTCCTCTGTCCATCCATTCATTTCTAACAGGAGCTCAAATTGTGCTCTATATGCTTCCCTTGGTGTCTTCCCATCGAATTCCTGTGGCTTCCTTCGTACTAGATCATCCATATTGCTGACACGTATGTCTGGAATGTGACTTCTGGCAGGACTGAAGATCCCTGCATTAGGGTTTAGCTGCGGGATCTGGAAGGGGCTTCCCGTTGTCTGAGGCTGATTATGTCTATGGCTAATATATCATCCTTGTGTAAAAGACAATAAATCATCCTTTAATGTACTTAATTCACTTTGAAATTTACTAATCTTTTCCATTTGTGTGAGCTGGCTTTCTTTCAACTGTTGGAGTCTTTCTTCTTGGTTCTTTTCTTGTTCTTCTTGTTCCAGTTGCCGCTGATGCTGGTTTTCCTGCCACTGCAGGTTCTTTTTTAATTAAAACTAGTTTATTATTTTTCGATACAACTTTGAATACACAGAATTTCCACTGTCACTCTAAACTTAACAACCTTTATAACACACACTATAAATCACAGTGGTTTACACACTTTACTTGCGGTACCTACTGTTCGCTTGACTCAATTATCTCTATCTTCAATCTTTCTACATATCTATCTATCGTTGGTTTATATATTAAAAGCCTTACGCTTTATTGAAGAAAATGACAGTTTTTTAAAAACTCCATTTTTTCTAGTGCTATAT